TTGCAATGGTAAATGGGAGTGTTTCCTTAATTTCTCTTTCAGATTTTTCATCATTAGTTTATAGGAATGCAAGAGATTTCTGTGCATTAATTTTGTATCCTGCTGCTTTCAATGTGCTATTACTGGACTAGACCTTATTAATGGTAGCCAAACGTCTCTGGACCACCTGTCTTACTAGTCTGTTACAGTCCAGGAAATGACTCCTTATTGTTGCTTTTTTCCATATTTAGAGTTACACTATTACAATCGTTCATATAGAACTATGTGATTGGTCAACTGCTTCAAGTCGCCTAGTCATCATTTTATCAGAGGCTCAGTCATACATTTGGTAATGCAAGAACAACAATTTTGTAAATCAGGCAAAATACTAATGCCAAGAACTTCCATTAGGTGCACCCCAGTATATCCCCAGTCATCTCAGTCAATTCTGTACCTATCCTTATCTTTAAGGGAAATTATATATTGGTTTTATTCAGAAGGCACCCAACCCAGTTTCCTAGTGTTATTATGCTGGTTATCCTTAATATGGTTCCCAACTTAAGGGGGACCTTAAACTTAAACGATTATAGCCTGGTGTTAGCCATATAAATCCATCCCACAACTGAGGGAGTTTATATTCCTTGGCTGAAATTTTAATTGTTGCTCTGACTGAGCTTGAGTAACTTTAGAAGAAAATTCATATTTATGGTCAGAGTCAGAGTAGGTATTATTAAGTGGCCAGGTGAGGGGATCCCACCTAGTAATACCAGATCAGTAATGACCTGAACAGAGCTATAATTTCTTTCTTCTAGAATAATTCTCTAAGGGCCTTCCAATTAGAGCCTTGGAGTGGAGAAATCCACCAATGTAACCCAGAAATACTGGATATAGGTAATTGGCCATAAACCTAACAATTGGATGAACTTTAACTCTGCATAAGATTGTGATATATAGTTGGTTCATAAGCAAAGGTGTGAGCAATTATCAAAGTAATTGGTATAGAGGCCTGGTCCAGCATCTTGGGTCAGCTCTCTACTTCAGATGTTGTCTTCCTCTTATCCTAGTCTGGTCATTTCTTCTCTGCTTGAGCATTGTTTTAAGGTGATTTTAAGGTCTGAAGTCCTCTCTGTAGGCTGGTTCAGTGCAGGAGCCCTTTCTAAGAGGATATACTAATCCAAGAGTCAATTCTCTTCAGTTTTGCTGTGCACAAGCTACTTAAGAGTACTTGATAAGGGTCCTTCCATCTAGGTTGGAGATAGTCTTTTAAATTATGTCTTTTCCAGTATGTATACTCCCCTGGTTTCAGGTCATGGGGCATCTGATCTTCATCCAAAGATAGATTACTGAGATAAGCTTCAGAAACAAACTTAGAGTGTTTTTTAATAATTCAATGAAACTTTACTATAATATAACATAACAGCAAAGAGCTATGTGTGAAGTCAGTCTTAGGCGGTGAATACAGACCTCAATTAACAAATTTAGAATTTAAAATCCACTGAAACATAATCTTTTTCTCTCTGAAATTACCTTCATTTCTACCAAATACAGCCAAGTTGACTAATTTGTTTGCAAAATAAGTCTGGTTTCAATAAACTTGGTCTAATGACTCATATAATTGGTCATACAGGCTTTTTTAACATTTGGCTTTGCTGTAACTTGTCAGAAAGTTCTTACTATGAGTCTTCTTGAAGAGGAAGCATTTTTGCAGGTACAAGTGTAAAACAATAACTGTCTATGAATGACAAAGACTTAAGAAGGCACAGTTAAAAACCTGATACGATGTCATTGACAAAAATCTTGGTTACTGCTGTGACATACAACATTTTAAGATAATAACTAGAATTATGACTGATAACATTTTACCAGGACATACCATAGTTTTAGAAATTCCATATAATTTCTAGGATATCTAGATTAGAAACATTTATCCATACAATATAACCTAAGAAGATTTATTACCCATTTGACAATGCTTCCCATGTAATTAACATACCAAGCGAACCTAATTAGTTTAATATCTTACTTTGGGATGTTTTAGGGCCCCTTAAAGCATCCCAAAGTTAGCTAGAGGTCAAAGAAACTTCATTAGAATTTGATTTGGGAAGTTTGTCAAAAAATAACAAAAAGGTTTTAAAACACTTGGTCAAATAGGATCATAGGTCATTGTGAAATAATACTTATTCACTTAACCAAAGTGACAATAAAAGATTTCAAAGATAAATACAGAACAAATCACTGAAAAGGTAAAGAAACTTAAAATCTGTTATCAAAAGCAGATCGACATTTTAAGAAAACTTTGTACTCTTTACAGAGAGAAAAACCAAATTCAAGTTTTGTACCAACTTACTTTTAAAATTTATTTACTCGATTAAAGTTATTCTAAATTTAGCCAATCCTGACCATGCACAAAACTCTTCTCAAGGTTCCTTTCCCACAAACCTTCCATCACTTTCTGTACCCATATTAGTTTGTCCCTTATTTTCCCCATCCAGAAACAACCAGCTCTAGGACAGAATTACTTTTCCCTTAGTGAAATGCAATTCCATTCCTTATACCTTCATTTAATGAAAATACACACCCTACTTTCTTGCTGCATACTGAAATGTTTCCTTTATTATTTCAAGTAGCTTTAATGACATATTTAAATTAGAATCCTCAACTCTTAAACACCTTAATTTCTAGTGAGAACGAAAAAGTAAGCAATTGGGAACTGTCTTCTACGTTAGCATTCTGTAGATTGAAAAACATAAATACCAATAATAACTTCTAAAAACAAATGTGCTTTTTAATAGAAAATTTCTCAGTGTGGCACCAAATACATTTATTAATAATCCTCAATACCTTTAGTTTCTCTGTAAAAGGAGGCTAATGTTCAGTAATTAATGTTTCGGTATCCTATTTTATTTGGGAATGACTTAGCTATTCAATAAACTTCTATCATTTAACTTAACTTAGCACAACTCTAAACTTTTAAGTTACCAAATATCCGGAGAGTTTTGTTTTGTTTTGTTTTTTTGCAATACGCGGGCCTCTCACTGCTGTGGCCTCTCCCGTTGTGGAGCACAGGCTCCGGATGTGCAGGCTCAGCGGCCATGGCTCATGGGCCCAGCCGCTCCGCGGCATGTGGGATCTTCCCGGACCGCGGCATGAACACGCATCCCCTGCATCGGCAGGTGGACTCTCAACCACTGCACCACCAGGGAAGCCCTGGAGAGATTATTTTTAAGTAGACATTCTTAAAATATAATTACTCCTAAAGAGTTCACCCAAAAGCTCTTATCTCACTTACACTTAATTTACTTATAAAATTACTGATAAAAATTTCATCATACCAAGTTATTTTTCTTGCTGACAAGTTTGCAACGGATGTAATAAGATCTTATTTGACTTCTATGAAATCTAGGTATTGATACAATAAAAATATTACACTTAATGTTGATGACTCTAAAGACATATCTATACTAATTAAATCTACAAACTTTAACTTTAATACCAGGTATTATTTTAATACTGAATATTTCCCAGTTCACATGAACACAAAATTCATTCTGGCAAGTTTCCTTTCTGAGAAATTTATATAAGCACTTAATTTACTCTAAGCCAATTAAGTAGAGCTAATACCATCAAAGGTAAAGACATATATGCCAACATAGACATATAGACAGACACAACCAGAGATCTCATTTTAACACTTAGTCATGATTCAAGTATTACAATCTAAAACTCATTAGAGTGCCTCGTTCCTGATCTCTGCCCTGAGCTCCTGGGCTGAAGATCAGTGACTGCAGTGGCTAGTGACCTAACCCTTGTACAGGCAGATGACAAGTGGCAGTTTTAGTTGGCACCCTCCTCTCAGCAGAACTCCTCTCTTGACATCCTGAAACCCAACAAGAATGCAGTGACCTCAGTGACTGGGGTGTGGCCAGGTGGCATTGGGGTCTCCCAGCCTGACTCTCTTCGCCCTCAGAGAGCTCTTTCCCAATATCCATGAACAAGGATTTCTCAAGTCGGAATCTTTGTAAGGCACCTGGTCTGAGTGAGCATCTGCCGTGGGATGGTCCTTAGGCAATACCAGTGGCCCACCTAAACTGAAATGTGGCAGGAGACAGCCAAGAGTGGGATCAGGATGGAGCACAGCGGTGGAGAGCCCTGTGCTGGGAGTCAGGAGCATGGTTTCTTACTCTAGTTCTGTTGCGATTTGCTGTGGGAACTTATGAAAGTCCCTTCCATCCCTGGGTCTGCTTTTTCATCAATAACATGTGGAAATTGGACTGGATACCTATGGCTTAGGTACTGTGCTATGAAGAGGGAGAAGGAGGAAAGAAAAGGGGCACACGAGGAGGTGACACTGATGTAGATGACCTTGTGAAGCTAGGTAACTTCTCTGAGCCTCAGTGCCCTCTTCTGTAAAAAGGAAATTACTAGATAGAGGAGAAAGGAACATAATTACTCAGGATAGAGCCTGCAAAGCAATGCGTGCTGGACTATGCAGGGGCTGATTTCATGGGAAAGCAGGGTTTCAGGACTGAGGGGTCCGGGAGTGTGCCAGGACTTCCAACTGACTGTTGGGGGAAATGGAGAAGGGGAGCATCCTGGAGGCTTGCAGGTGAGATGCCTTGCTGTGACCGGTGGAGGGATCGCTGACACCCCACATGTGAGAAGAGAGGGAGAGTGAACACAGGGAGGCTGCTCCGCTGTCCACTCTTGAGACAGGATTCACACATCAAACCCTACGACAAGCTCACATTTCCCAGCTTTTCTCACCCAGAATCACTGCCTTTGTTTAGAGGAGGGGATGGGGGAGGAGACAGAGGGCCAGGAGGGAGGGGCCCCGCGGTGCCGCCGCCGCCCCCACCCCCTCCGGTTGTGCGGAGCCCGACTGCCACTCAGCTCTGGCGCCGTGGGCGACGGAGGCGCCGGGTGCCCGAGTGGAGTCCCAGACAGCTGCCATCCCTCTGGACCTGACAGGCTGGCCCTGGATTCTTCAGGCATCCCTGGAGCAAGAGGCTGCCCAAGGCGTGGAGCTGGGAGGGCGCTTGGACGGAACCGTTCAGGTGGCTAGGAGCTCTGCCAGCTTTGGTCACCTTGGGTAAGTCTGTACCTCAGTTCGCCTCCGGGTCATCCCCAGTGGGGATGCAGGAAAGGGTTGAAAGAGGCGACTAGAATGCCCCCTTGGGGCAGGGTGTGTGCGAGGGTCCCTGGCAGAGCCAGACCGGGACCGGGGACTGCTAGGAGGCAGAAGCCAGCAGTGCCTCTGGTGGGTGGGCGCAGGGCATGTGTGCACTGCAAGCTGGGGAGAGGGGACCGCGCACCCTGGCTTGTTGCTCGGCTCAGTCCTCCAGACCCACGTCTGCCAGACCAGTCCCAGGTGCGAAATAGGGGCGCTACCTCTTTAAAAGCGTCCGGGCTGAGCCTCTGCCGCACCCTGTGATTGCCTGAAAGGCCCGGCTAGGAGCTCTGCGGCGGGAGCCTGGAGGACCGTGAGCTGCTACGCGCGGTGCTGAGAGCCCAGCCCTGCCTGGCGCGGCCTCGAGCCCTGAGTGGCACCAGGTGTCCGGAACTTTGGGCACAGCCTCTGGGACTCCCTGGCCACCAGCAGACAGGATGGTGAGCTCCCTGCATCCTGTTCTGTGGGCATGGGTAGGCAGAGCCAGGCACTGGGGACCCGTGTGGGGTGAGTGTGTGCTGGGAACTGCCTCACACCTGACAAAATAGCCGGTGGAGGAGTGAGTGCCGCTCTTTTATGTTGTCGAATGGATCCGCTGGGACTGATAAGGGGAGGGGACAAAGATCTGGCAGAGAAAGGGTTAGGGTACCCCACCAGCTTGGGCAGGCACTAGATGTGCCAAGTGGGGCACATCTCCAAAGGGCAGCTGGACTTCCAGAGCCGCCTGGGTTCCCCTCCCCTTCCCAGGCAGGCCTTCCCACCCCAGGCTTCCGTGACCACAGGTGCTTGCCTCCTGCCCCTTGGTGCCTGTCTGCTGATGTGCCCAGCCTGTGCCCACCATGCCGCCCTCCATCTCGGCCTTCCAGGCCGCATATATTGGCATCGAGGTGCTCATCGCCCTGGTCTCCGTGCCTGGGAACGTGCTGGTGATCTGGGCAGTGAAGGTGAACCAGGCACTGCGGGATGCCACCTTCTGCTTCATCGTGTCACTGGCAGTGGCTGATGTGGCAGTGGGCGCTCTGGTCATCCCACTTGCCATCCTCATCAACATTGGGCCACAGACCTACTTCCACACCTGCCTCATGGTCGCCTGCCCTGTCCTCATCCTCACTCAGAGCTCCATCTTGGCCCTGCTGGCAATCGCTGTCGACCGCTACCTCCGTGTCAAGATCCCGCTCAGGTGAGTCCAGAGCAGCTGAAGGTACCTGCTGTGCCCCATGCTGGGTGGCTTGAGGGCCATCTAGAGAGGATAAAAGGTAGAGCATAAGACCCCAAGTAAGCTGGATATTCTCTGGGCCATTGTGCCCCAGCCCTCACTCTGCCTTCCTCTCCTCTGCCCTGCAGTATCAGGCTGAACTCAAGTTGAAGCAGGAGGGGGCTGGGTGGCTGGAGGAATGTGAACCTGGCAGTGCTCAGGACCCCAGAGCTGAAGCTCTGCTGTTCTCCTGACCCGGCCAGGGAACCTGAGGCTGCCTGTTCAGCCTGGCCTGGGGTGGGGTGGGGGCGGGGGGGGGGGGGGGGTAGACAGTGAGCCCTGGTTGGGAATGAGCTGATCTCCACCAGTTCGAGGGAAGTGGAAGGGGCAGAGCAGATTGCTAGGGTGGGCTCAGGGTGGCGCACCGCGGACAGGAGTGCTGCTTCTCTAACCAGAACTGGGAAAGCTTCCTGAGGATACTCTTTCTTGTTCTGCAGATACCCTTGTGCTAGCCAGCTCCCTGCCCCAGGGCTGTCCTGTTGAACCCAGACAGTCTGATTACCTCTGCCCAACTCCCACTTATGGAATCGCTGTTGCAGGCAGGAGGAGGCAGGCTCTTAATGTTCCTGTTGGGTTGCAAAACCACAGCAGAGGTGCTTATGCCGCGTCCAGGCAGCACCAGGGTGGGTGACCTAATAGTGGCGGTCCTGTCATGCAAGTGTCCAGTCCACATTGGGGCTCTTTCCCTGGGCCTGCCAGGCCATAATCTTGTCACCAGGCAGTGCCTGGGCCACCAAGTGCCAGCAAATGCCTGGGCACACTGCCAGTGCTGGCCTCTCTGGGACATTCTTGTGAGGCGTGCTTGCCCCCTCGTTAAATCTTCTCACCAGTAGATTCCCTTTCTACTGCGGAGTTCTAGACGTCTTCAGCACCTGCTGTCCCTGGAGTAGCTTCCATACCTGGGACATGGAGCCTCTGGCCTCACCTGACAACTTGCCCAGGCAGGCCTAGGCACCCATGTTTCTCCTGTTTGCATTACATTTGTACACATTTAAGTTTTCAAAGATTTTATAATGCACCATGGTTTTCCTCTTTTCATCGTGATCCTATAAGGGAGGTGAAGTAGGAGCTGGTAAAGGGGAAAGAGATCCAGAGAACCTCCTGAAGCTGATTGGGAGCAGAGCCTTGATTCCACTACTCCCCTTCCTTCCTGATTCCCCCAGTGTCCCAGACCCCTGATGGCAGTGTTCCTGCCCTGTTTACCTCCTTCACAACCTCCAAGTTTCCCAGGGAAGGTGAGGTGAAGACTGCTGCTCAGGAGAGAAGGGAAGACAGGGAAGGCAGCCCAGAAACCCTGTAAGCTCAGCCGCTGAGGGGCCTTCATGCTGCCATTAGTCCCAGGTTGTGGCTGAGCTATATACCAATGAACCTGATTTCAACCCATTAGCGTGGGCTGGGCCTCTGAGCCTGGTGATTATAGCAAAGTGTTGCCACATTAGGAAAGTCATGCAGATACGTGAATATAGGAAGGTTGCTTAAGAAATCTGGTCTACTGAGTGGGTGCCAAGGCAAACCAAAGGCCTGGTCGTGATGTAACAGAGGTCACGGGCCCACAGAATGTGCCCTCCTTGTCCTGTGGGGATGGGGATGGCTGTGCTGGCAGAATTGCAGGCTCATTCTTCCAGAAGACAGCTTCTGTTGCTCCTTGCTCCAGCCTTGAAGAGCTGGGGGTCTTTAGGAGCTATCGTTGGAGGGCCAAGGCAGAGGTATGCATAGAGGCTAAGAATGCAGGCCTGGGTTCAAATCCTTGCTATGAATTCCTAGCTGTATGACCTTGAGAAACTCACTTATTAACCTCCTTCAATTTTAACTTCCACGTCAATAAAAGGAGACATTAATGATAGTACCTTCTTCCTAGGGTGATTGGAAGAATATAATAAACTCCTACATATAAAGCACATGGTACTGTATAATGCACCTGGTGGTATATGCAAGCCATAAGTGGTAGGTTTATTTTGTAGTTTTATTATCATTGTTAACATATGGCTCAAAGTGGGTCTGAATAGGCAAGCCCTGCGCCCTCACCCCCCCACACTGATGCTTTTACATAACAACACATATGCCCTTATACACATGCACGCACACATGGGCACACAAGACACACCACATTTCCAGAGAAGTGTCAAAGTACTGTTAAGTTATAGTTATACATGTTTTTCTCCCTTGCTAGATTGTCATGCCTCAAGTGCAGCGACCTGGACAGTGGCCACATTTTGTTCGTTTGTACAAATTCTCCAGAACGCCTAGCATAGTGTCTGGCGCATAGCAGACACTCAGTAAATGTTGATTGAATTGGATGAGTTTTCAGAGCTCACATGGTTGTGCCTCAGGCAGGCCTTCCAGGGGTCTAACCTCTAACCATCGTGCTGTGGCCTGTATCTTCCCAGCATTCTACCTCAGGGCCCTGACCACAGCTGCCCTTAACAGCTCAGGTGGCTCCTTCAGAGCCACACTCCAGTAGTGCCTGAGAGAGGAGTCTTTCTCCTGAGTTAGAGAAAGGCTGCTGGGCCTACCTTCCAAAGCTGGGATCCTGGAGGCTGGGCTGAGGTGACGGGTCACTCCAGGTCCCCCCGCAGGAGGAACACATGCGCTGCTGTCCCCTGGGCAGCTGGAGTCAGCAGGCTGCTGGGTCTGGGACAACACCTTTCTGCTGGAGGTCCCCAGGTGCCTGGCTCCCTGCCCTGACAAGCCAGGCAGAGGTAGATGTGGCCTGGGAACCAGGGGGCAATACTGCTCAAGCATTGGTGAGGCATGTATGGGGCGTTCAGTGACAGGAGTCAGCTGGGCCCCTCACCAAGCAAGGCATGGTTTGGTCAGTAACCACAAATTTTATTTCCTTCCACTTGGCAGAAAGCCAAGAGGAAAAAAGGTTCACGTGGTGTAGTGTGATCCAGTTACCAAAAAAAAAAAAAGCTTAAATTGTTGATGCATCAATAACCTGTGGTTATTTACATGTATTTTACAGGTTATTTGCCTTCCACCTCCACATGCTTGGTAATGGATACCCCATTCCCCTCAGCTCCTACTTCTAGGGAATCCCTGGGTTTTCTTGGGGGCACTCTGTGCCAACTTGATACCTACTCCAGGGGGCTTGTTATGGTGAGGAGTGCCACTCCCTGACCACCACAGCCCTCTCTGTGGGAAGGAGACCTGACCCTCTCTGTGGGAAGGTGACCAGATGGGTTGGTGTGGGGTGAAGGGGTGATGGGTATTTGGGAGTCAGAAATACCTGAGTTTGAACCTTGCTGTTACAAACTAGCTGTGCAACCTTCTTGGTTAAGTTACTCAATCCCTGAGCCTCCTCTTCGCCACCACACCCCCTGCCACCATCTGTTAAATGAAGGGAATGGATTCTGGATTCGAGGTCTCTGAGGTTCCTTTCAGTTCTAACTTTCTATAGTTCTTCCTGACCATGACTCCTGCCAATACTGTGTTGAAATCCTAGGAAGATTGTGTTGTGTTTTTTAGCTCCTAGTGCTTATGAGCTAGGCACAGTGCTATATATATATATATATATATATATATATATATATATATATATTTTTTTTTTTTTTTTTTTCAGTACGCGGGCCTCTCACTGCTGTGGCCTCTCCCGTTGCGGAGCACAGGCTCCAGACGCGCGGGCTCAGCAGCCATGGCTCACGGGCCCAGCCACTCCGCGGCATGTGGGATCCTCCCGGATCGGGGCACGAATCCGTGTCCCCTGCATTAGCAGGTGGACTCTCAACCACTGCGCCACCAGGGAAGCCCACAGTGCTATATTTTTATAGTTTTATCTCATTTAATGCTCATAGTTTCTTGCTGGTAAAGGTTATTGTTATCCCCATTCTAGACATGTCTATAGATACACTGAGGTCTAAAGCTCAGGAAGGTTCAGTAATTTTCCCAAACATCTTATCAGGAGCCAAGACAGGATTTGAATCCAGGTCTGTCTACCAGAGATGCCTTTAACCGGTGAGCCCATATGTGTTTTGAGTCAGCCTCAGGAAGCTATAGGATTTATGGAGCAGTTTCCTCACGGCTATCAGCGGGGGTGATTTTTCCCCTCTGATTTTTGCCATGGCCTCTGCACTCTGCTCCAGCCCATGCTTGGTGCCTCTCCGTCCCTCCTCACCTTCACTCCAGTGGGCAGCTGAGCCCCTGGCAGCCCTGCCTCTGTCCACAGCTGGAGGCCTTCCCAACTGGGCTGCTGACCAGGGAAGTACAGCAGAGTGTGGGGGAGGCCAGACTGCTGGACCAGGGCTCTGGGAAAGAGATCTGGTAGATTAACGTATGTTTGCTTTTAGGCATCAGTTTAGCCCTCTCCCCCCACCCCCCAGCTAGCCTGGGCTTTTCTGGACAACTAAAGTGCCTCCTGTGCTTGCACCACAGCAGGTGACCATCTGTGGTCTCAGGGTCCCAGAACAGTTGCTCTCTGGTGGTGCCATCTGCTTTCAGCAGAGGTAGGCCATCTCTAGCTCCTGTACGGATGGATTAGTCGTTGGCCTAGAGTGGCTGAGATAGAAGAGGAGTGATAGCAAGCCCTGATGCCCAACTCCCTCACATTTGGACAAGAGGAAACAGAGGCCCAGAGTTCCAGCATGTTCAAGGTCACTCAGCCACAGGCTCTTTTCTCCTCCTAATTCTGACTCTGGCTCCCCAGCCTTTGATGTAAAAGGCTTACCTGCAAGGAACAGAACAGAGAAATTTCAGCCTCCACAGGTTAAGTCAGCAAATTAGTGGTGGGCTTAGAGGGGGAAAGTGATGGAAGGATGTCAAATTTGTGATTAAAAAGGTAATTTCTTTGTTTGAACTAGGGATAGCCTTCAGGTGGATTATGCTAAAGAGTGCTCTGGGCAATCCAGATTAGTATCAGTGGTGAAAGCTTCTCCCAGCTGACATTGGAATGAGTCCTTTAGCAGTGCTGCTTGGAAGCAAGGGAATGG